ATGCACTAACCACAAAAGCTAATGATGATGAAATTGGAGAATTCTACCAACTTCTTCAATCTGGAAATAATCAAACATGCAATCAGGTTGTATTGATAATTACTGGTGATTGGAATACAACGGTTGGAAACATGGAGGAAGGGTCAGTAGAACATACGGCCTTGGCAGTAGAAACAATGGTGGAGATCACATGATAGAATTTTACTAGAGCAATGATTTATTCATCACAAATACCTTTTTTTCGGCAACATAAAAGGCATCTCAAAGAGCTGGGCTGGCACAATGGCAGCAGCAATGGGTTCAAACATAACAGCAGATGTGAGGATGGCAAAAGATTGTGCAGTGTTTTCTTCTGTTGTGCATAGGGTTGCGATGAGTCAGAACCAATTCGACAGAACTTAACAACAACAACAATATACATGGACTTCACCAGTTGGAATACATAGAAAGCCAATTGAGATGCTCAATATTATCATCCAAAACAAGGCCAAGGGTAGACTTTGGAACAGATCATCAATTGCTCGTATGCAAATAATGGGTGAAGCTGAAATAAATTAAAACAAGTCCATGAAAGCCAAAATGTGACCTTGAACATATTCCACCTGAATTTATAGACCATCTCAAGAACAGATCTGATTCATTAGACACTAATGACTAAAGATCAGAAAAATTGTGGGATGGTATCAAGAGAGCAAAGCATCATTAAAAAGACAGGAAATAAAGAAACACAAATATGGGTGTTGGAAGGGATTGAAACTTGCTCTCCAGAATAATGATCCTAAAGCAAATGGAAGAACTGAGGAAGAAGGGAACAGAAAAGTTCAAAGGGCAGTGAGAAAAGATAAAGTCAAGTATTATACTGAAGTGTGCAAAAAAAAAAAAACTGGAGTTAGAAAACCAAAACAGAAGAACATACTCAGCATTTGTCAAACTGAAAAACTGAAGAAAAATTTGAAACTTCTACATGCTAAATACTGAATGATGAGAAATTATCAATAGACGATGGAAATAATACAGTCATCGTAGCTAAAAGAAATTGTCAATACTCAACCATTTCAAGAGGTAGCATATGATCAAGAACTGAAGGGACTGAGGATAGAAGTCCAAGCTGCACTGTCAACTTTGAAGAAGAACAAGGCATCAATGGCATCCAAATGGAAATATCCCAACAAATTGATGTAGTACTGCAGGTACTCACTCATCTGTGCCACGAAGTTTGGAAGACAGCTACCTGGCCAAATCATTAGAAGAACTCCATATTTTTGCCCATTCTAGAGAGAGATGACCCAACAGAATGTGGAAATCATCAAATAATATCTTATATATCACATGCAATAAAAGTTTGCTGAGATAATTCAAAAACAGTTGCAACAGTACATTGATAGGAAACTGCCAGAGGTCCAAGCTGGATTCAGAAGAAGACATGAAACTAGAAGTATCATTGCTGTGTTGAAAGAAGTACAGTCAGAATGCTCCTCAGAAGTCAGGATGCTGAGGCTTGGTCTGAATTAGTTAGGACATTAGTACCATGAGGGATCAGTCTGGAGATAGCATGCCTGGAAATTGGAGGGTCAAAAAAAAAAAATGATGAAGACCCCCAAAGAGAGGGAATGACATAGTGGAATCCTCCATGGGCTCAAGTGTAATGACAATTGTGAGGATGGCACAGGACTGGCAAGTCTTTCATACTGTTGTGCATAGGAACTGACTCAATGGCACCTAACAACAGAGATGATTTCATAAATTTGCTACAGCCTTCAAGTCTTTCCTCTGCCCTAGATTGCTCATTGTCAGCTGAGCCTCTCACCTCCTCCTTCATTAAGTGGAGAAATCAAGTGATACAGAGTTTCTGCAGCAATTCTTTATTTTCTCCACTCCCTGATTTTTCATCCTACCTCCCCCAAACTGAAGCTATCTATGCCTTCCTTGTTTGATCCTACCACAGGGACCATCTTAAGTCAAGAGGTGAAGTGCCTTTTAGTTCACTACTTACGTCTGATTCTGTTACTACCCTTCTCAGAAATCTACAGTGCTGCTCATGGCCTGTAAAAGATGGTGAAACCTACATGAACTCTTCTGTAAAGTGTTTGAAGACATGGCCGGCTATGCTCTTGAGGTTGTCTACTTTGGCAGAACCATCTTCTGGGCCATTCTGCTGGACGTAGTAGCAGTGTTAAATTTTGTTGCCTTACTTCATCTGTTTTCTCATGTGGGCCTGCCCTTCTCACCCTTCCTCACAGGTCAAAGGCCCTCTCTTCCAAAACACCTAGATCCTTTGACATCTCAACCATAAAGTAGATCTAATCCCTTCAATCCAAATTGATCTCTGCTTCTTTCAAAATCCTGTTCAATATTACCTGTACTCCTGTTTAGCACTTAATAGGATAAAGTGCCATACCTGTTGTGTTATGATTTCTAAATGATAGGGATTTTTCTGGATTTATCATTGTATTTCTCAGTTTCATATTTAGAGGATTTCCATAAATATTACTTACTTTACTGAAGTGAATCATATATTATGCTACTGATCTGGCTCTGAGTTTGCATGCCTGTATTCTAAACTACCTTTCTGCTTTAATTCTGAGAGCAAGCTTCTAATTTCTAATTTAATTTTGAAAAGCAGATCACTATTTCCTCACCTGCTTTTGATTTCTGTCTTTGTCGGTTTCTCTAGAAATGGGCATCTATCTTGCTTGTAGGTCAGCTCTCTGTCCCACCCACGTACCCTTTACATGCTTCCAAAAAAGAGTCCTTCACATGAATCCCAAGCCCTGCTACCTGGAAGAAAAGATACTTTGCCAACTCTCTACTCATCTGGTAGCCTGAATTGTCAAATCTTCCCCTAATCAGATTTCTGTGCTCCTTTGCAACCTGTTTAAATTCCAGTTTACTTTGATGCTAGCTGCTTGATTAAACACCTTTTCTGTACTCAGCTGCCACAGTGGAAAACAGTATTCCCACTAAGCAACTGAAGACATTGCTATTGCTTTGACTGGGAGCCTTTTCCTCAGTAGGTCTGTCAGTTTCCTGGCCTACTCCTCCCAGTCACAAAGAAATCAACCTTTCTTTGCCAACATATGCATATATCTTTTACAAGGGGATCAACTGGGAGGCCTTGTTATTGTGGGGAACAGGCGTGTGTGGTCTTCTCTGAGGAACTAACTTATCTCATATAATTCGGAAAAATGAACCATGAGTTTCTAATGATTTTTAATTTAGGGATCTTGTATTTGTTTAATCAATTGAATTGTACTAGTTCATTATGGTTTCAGATGAGACAAGCAATCACTTCTGTATTTAAAGTTTCCTGTCTGCACCTCATTCCACTGAGCAGTGGTGATAATGGTGGTGTGCCGTCGAGTCGGTTCCAACTCACAGGGACACTATTTAGGTTTTAGGAGGCTGTAAACGTTTACAGGAGCAGAACGCCTCATCTTTCTTCCTTGGAGACGCTGGTGGACTTGAACTGCTGACCTGGTAGTTAGCAGCCCAACATGTAGCCCTCTATGCTACCAGGGCTCCTTATTCCACTGGATTATGCCCAGGGCCATTGTTACTGTTATCTCTAAGTGCCGTTGAGTTGGTTCCAACTCATGGCAACCCTGTGTGTATAGAGTTTCCGAGAAGCAGCTGCTGAATTCGAACCTTGAATCTTGAGGTAGGTCCAGTGTTTATCGTACAACATCACACCAAGATTCCGTGCATAGGGCAGTCCCCAACAATAAAGAGTTAAATGGTCTAAAATGAGAAGAATGCTAATGCTGAAAAACCTTTCTTCTATCATGAGGGATAATTAATAGAATGTTGTACTTCCTTACCCCATGTTAGATATTTCTATATTCTTTGGCAAGAGGGCATACATATTGTCTGAACACACCCACCCCCAGATTATCTCATGGAGTTGATGATGAGTTGGTCTGTTTTGTATGAAATTAACTCTGTGATTATTGTTAGTTGCCACTGAGTCAGATCCAACTCCTGGTAGCTCTGTGTACAACGGTTGCCTAGTCTCACACCATCTGCATGATCACTGGTATGTTTGAGTCTATTGTGACCATTGTGTGGTGCCCTTAATCCTGCAAGGGTCATCTTCCAGCACTCTATCAAAGAATGCTATTTTGTTGTCAATAAGGTTTCAGTTGGCTAGTTTTGAGAGAGAAATAATCTAGTCTATCTTATCTAGAAGCTCTGCTAACATCTGTCCGCCATGGAATACCACGCTTGCATTTGAAATACTGGTGTTAAAGCTTCCAGTCTCACAAACCTCCATCGTGCAAATCACCACAGAATGATAAATAATAGAGAAAGGGTGCAAATTATATTCAGTAGGGTTCATCTGATGCACAGATTTGGTTACCTCTTATCTCTTTTAATCCCTTCTTTGGCTTTGAATTACCCTAAAAATAAAATAAAAACTGCCTCAGTAAGAACCCAAGCTAATTTTTTTACCCTCCATTGCTGACACGCTTCTCTTTCCCCATTCTGTGTTTCCTCAGAAGTAGCCCTGGTGGCTCATTAGTTCAACACTCAGCTTCTAATACAAAGGTTGACAGTTCGAATCCACCATCTACTCTTCAAGAGAATGATGTTACAGTATGCGTCTGTAAAGATTATATCCTCAGAGACCTTAAGGGCTAATCCTCCCCTCTCCTGTAGGATTGGGATCCACTTGATGGCAATAGTTTCCAGTTTATTTTCAACAAGCTCTTTTTCAGTCTCTAGGAAAGTTTCCTTTCTCCCCTCCAATATTTCCAGGCTCACTTACGTGCTATTATGATGTATTTCTTTTTTAGCATTTTATCTCCTATAATTAGTCTATTTTCCCCTTTTGCTAAATAGAAAAGTATTTGTATTCCCTGTACTTCATTGGAAAATTTACTATTCAATTAATGTTTATTCTGTAAACTGAAACAGTGTTAGTTTATTAGAATATGTACACAGATTCTCTGAATTAAGGTAAGGAAACACAGTGGATTATTCCTTTGTTGTTACCTTTGCAGGTTTACCTGGAGAAGAGGGAAGGTCAAGGCAATCAGTGAGTGGTATAGCAACTTCATCATTTCAGAGGCATCGGGAGAACCAGGCCACTCAGGTAAGTGGACTCAGCCATTTACAGTGTCTATAATAACTTGAAAATGAAACTGTGAACAAGAAATTTCTTAAACTGTGACCTAGAATGAATGCAGTGTTTGACTGTTAACTCAAAAGTTGGTCGTTTAAACCTGTCACCTGTTTGAAGGGAGAAAGATATGGCAGTCTGTTTTAGTAAAGATTTACAACCTAGGAAACCCAATGAGGCAGTTGTACTCTATCTTGTAGGGATGCTGTAAAACAGAATCATCTTGAAGATAGTAGGTTTAGCTTTTCTTTTTTTTTTTTTTAATGACCATGAATATAGTTTCTTATAAAACTATCGAACTCAGTTGTTTTCATCTCCTCCTTAAATTTTACTAACTTATCTTCTGTTCTTTCCTTACTAAAGTTTGCTCCAATTTTCTACTTGTTTTGAAAAGAATAACCACCCAAATAGTAAAATCACAAATAATTGTGTATGTATCATTTTAGATATAATTGATGTTGTGTAGTTTAAAATCACAGCTAGGTGAAGATGATCTTCAATCTACTGAATGATGTTCACATGTTCTCCACACTTGACCTCAGCTACAATAAGACGTTAAGTGATAGTAACATGCAGCTTGTGCTTAATGCACCTGTGATTTCATGGCCTGCCTTCTCATCTCAGTTAAACCAAACCCACTGCCACCCAGTCAATTCTGACTCATTACAAATGTGTAACGGAGAGTACATTTGCCTCATAGGGGTTCCAAGGCTGACATCATTACAGAAGCTGACTGTCACATCTATCTCCCACAGAACAGATCTAGGTTCAGTTACAGATATTTTGGTTAGCTGTGAACCCAGCCCTACCAAGTACACCTTTCTTACCTTCAAGTTCTATCTATTCCAAAAAAATTTATAATATGTTGTTGTTATTTTTATGTGCTATGCAGTCAGTTCCAACTCATAGCGACCCGGTACAGGGTTTCCGAGTCTGTAACTCTTTACGGGAGCAGAACGCCTCATCTTTCTCCCATGGAACAGCTGGTAGTTTCAAACTGCTAATCTTGAGGTTCACAGCCCGATTCATACCCACTATGCTATCAGAGCTCCTTAATTTACAATCTAGTACAGTACAACCTGTGAAAGAAGTAGCTCCATAGTACTGGCTTGTTTTCCCCCGTTTCGCCAAGTTTGCTAGCTTTGATGGGGTGAAGACGTTCCTATCACTCGCTTTAAAGGAAAATATTTAGTGGGAAATATTTGCATTTGCTCCTGATAGGTTCCTCCTGACACAGATTCCAGCTTTCACAGGTTTTAATCTAGGTGACAACACTGTAAAAGCCAAATATGGACATTGATCACAAACTTGTTTTGGATGTACTGTATTGATTTCTTATGCATACACTTTAATGTGTTTGGCCTTAAATATCTCACCATAGTAGTAAAAATCTTAAATATCTTACCATAGTAGTAAAAATATTGCTAAGGGGGAAAAAATGTGTTTTTAAAAAGAAAAAGGATTTATATAAGGGTTTTTTTTTGTCGTTGTTGTTGTTTTACTTTGTGATACTGAATTTAAAAATTATTTTGAAAAGCTATGATTTTGTATTCAAAATTGCATTTTTTGGGGTAATAAGATACAAACCAGCAATATAAAATATTTCATTGTCAATATAGTCACAGATTGTTGCTTTAGCAACAGGGTTCTTACATGACATTAGATTACAACATTTACTAGGTCATACATTGATTTAAGAATCTTTAAAAACTTCAGACAAGGATCCAGATGTTTCAGTGAAATCCATCATTCAGCTAATGGCTAGTTTTCATCTGGTTATGTAGCATTTTCATCTGGTATGGTTTTAGTACTAACTGAGATTTGTCCAAATAACGCTGGTAAGGTAGTGAAAAATGTCAGGAATTTTCATGCTAAAATTAAATCTTGCAATTTTCCAAAATCACACACATGATGTAAAGGCACTGAAATATAGGGGAAATGCTGACTTGTTTAATAATATATTCTAATATTAGAGCTTGATCCAAAATGCCCCTCCATTCCTGAGAGATGCAGCTACTTTACCTTTTAAGCATTATAGATGCTTTATATAAAGACTCCACAAAGGGAGTAATGAAGACTGGCTGGAATTTTATTATAGGGTTGACTTCTGCTCTTTGTGACAGAATGATAGGCTGTCTGACATCCCTTCCAGGATGTGCACTGTAATGTGGTCCACACAAAAGCCAGAAGAAGCTGCATAAAATAGGCATCTCTGTAACTTTCCCTCTGATCTTTCAAGGATTTGGCTATGACTCTAAGAGATATGGGAAAGGTCATCAAGAATAATTTTCCATTCTGAGTTTTCAATGGAGGCTTGTTTTCAAATACAAACATCCCTCATGAAGAAGTAGCCTCTAGTCATCTTACAGTGCATTTTTTTTCCCCAAGGAAATGGAAAACCATGCTCATTTTCTTTCTCTGCAAAAGTAGGGAAACACACATGGTGGTAGGATACATTCCTCACTGTTTGAGAAGCTATGAGAGTTATGTGAAACTGTGCATTTAATAGCTGCATGTTTCTTAGATTTAATCTTTTGTGTGACAGTTGCAGAGATTCTGAACACATACAGGCATGCTGAGTTTTAGATTTTTTATAGAATTAAGATTCTATAAAATCAGATGTGGACTGATTGGGCATGTAGTAGCCAAACTAAATGTCTGAAATTTGAATCTCTCTTTGTATTTTAATTAGAATCACTGGTAATTTCTCAAGTGAAATTTTTATGAGCAAGATAAAGGATATCAGTATTAATATGAAGAAAACAGGAAATAGATTTGCCAAATATAATAGGGGGAAAATTACTGTGTCCAGTCTTTGAGTAGATGTCAAGATCACTGTTTCTGAAAGTGAATTAAAGAATCATTCAATTTTTTTCTTAAAATTTGAGGAATTTTTGGTCCAAGATAAAATGTAGCTGCAATGGACATTTTGAATTTGGAATTTTGGGCTACTTGTCATAAATGGTTAGAATCCTGGTGTAGCACTATAGAATAATGCTCTGAACCACAAGCACGGGGTTCAAACTCACCAGCCACTCTTTGGAAACACTCCTATGAGTAAAAATCTACTCGATGGTACTTAACAACAACAAGTCATACATTTACACACTGTTGGTGTGACACCACTCCCCTGAAACCCTATGCAGGATGACTACGATTAGAAACAGGCTCAACAGCACTAAACACCAACAATCCTACATTTCAACTTCTGATCTCCCTTGAAAATATAAAAGGAAAACTCTTCTCTTTCTTTTTTCTTTTGACAGGTAAACTAAAATGTATGAAATGTGTTGTTTTGTTTTGTATTTTCAATTGTGACTCAGAGCAATGCTATGTTGTTGTTAGGTGCCATCGAGTCAGTACCGACTCATAGTGACCTTATGCACAGCAGAACGAAATACTGCCTGATCCTAGGCCAACCTCACTACTGTTATCTTGCTTGAGTCCATCGATGCTGCCACTTGGCCAGTCCATCTCAATAGGGGTCTTCCTCTTTTTCTCTGAACCTCCACCTTACCAAACATGATATCCTTCTCCAGTGACTGGTTCCTCCTGACAATATGCCTGAAGTATGAGAGACGAAGTTTGGCCATCTTGGCCTCCAAGGAGTACTCTGGCTGTACTTCTTCCAACACAGATCTGTTGGTTCTTTTGACAGCCCATGGCACTTTCAATATTCTCCTCCAACACCATAACTCAAAAGCATCAATTCTTCTATGGTCTTCCTTATTTACTGTCCAGCTTTTGCATCCATATGAGGTTTTTGAAAATACCATGCCTTGAGTCAGGCACACCTTAGTCCTTAAGCTGACATCTTTGCTCGTCAACACTTTACAAAAGTCTTGTGCAGCAGATTTGCCTAGTGCAATTCTATAGGGCACAGTAAAACTGCCTCATTAGGTTTGTTGTCAAGTGCTGTCCAGTCGGTTCTGACTCATAGTAACCCTGTACAGGTTTTCTGAGGAGCAGCTAGTCAGCTTGCACCACTGACTTTGCAGTTCAAACCGGTCTTGCAGTCCAGCATATTAACCCACAGAGCTACACCAGAACTCTCTGTAGGGTACACTAGGCTGGCGGTTCAAGCTCAGCTGCCATTCCTCAGAGACCCTATGAGTCAGAACCAAGTTGACGAAACTTAACAACAACAACAATCTTTATGGAGGATTTCTAGTGTGGCACTGGACTGCTAACCATAGTGTTCGCAGTTCAAACTAACCAGATGCTGTTCATAAACCCTATGCAGGATTTCTATGAGTTGGAACCGACTCAAGAACAAGGAGTGCAGTCTTTATGGAAACAGGTCTCCAGGTCTTTCAGCCCAGCTGGTGGGTTAGTAGCTCAGTGCTTAATCATTTTGCCACCAGGATTCATTATACAAGAGTGTAAACAATATATTGCAAAGGAAGAGACGTCACTCTGGAAGAGATGAGAAGAATAGAGGCTACTGTAAGGATAAAGGCAGCTGGTAGTGGTATCGCCCTCAACGTGAAGAGTGTTGTATAAGCAGAGGAATATTAGTCAGTTAATGTCTACTGGTCTGCCATTGCTTCTTGTCCATGTTCCAAACCTTTTCCTCTAAGTTCATGTTCTTCTTTCCAATAAAGCTTCTATCTACTTAAAATGGCCAAAGTAGGCCATTTTTGCCTGCGAATAAGAATTTTACTGACACATTATTCTAATTTCCTTGCTATCTCCACAAATTATGCTTTAGATGCAAATAATTCTCTCTCTTTTTTTTGCATTAAAACATTACCTCTTAATTTCTTCACAATTAGATGCATAACATTTTCTGTATAACAAGGGAAGAGGCTCAAATAGTAGTTGTTCATTTCCTAAAGATACAGAATACAGACAACATAGTTGTATTCAGTTATAACATTTTGTTAATTCTATAATTGAAATATCTTCCCATATAAGAAATAAGATAAATAAAAAATATATATTTTGGAAACATGAAATCTGGGACATTAACC